GGCCCTGCGGGCCGCTCCAAGCAACAGCCTGGTGGACCAAACTCTCACAAGTCGAGCCTGGCCTCGGGCCGGGCTTGGGGAGTAGAACTCCCAGAACCCCATCAAGCAGGTATCAAGCAGGTACCAGTCATCATATGATGATACACATGGTAATGTGGTTGTCATCATATGATTCAAGCTATTGTTGTCTGGGTTTTACACCCACATGATGCAAATAAGGATAGAATAGCTGCATGTGGATGTAATGAAGTTTACCGTAATTCACAAAACAAATGCTGCCATTATTTCATGGTTGTGTTACTAATGTGAATACGGTTATCATCATAAAAATTACTAGACAAATGTAGTCTTTGTATACAATTCCATATGTATCCCAATGATGTTCAAATGGTTTTCACAACTCCATATGGTTGTAATGAAGTATACCAAGGAAAACCAATCATCAATTAGAGCCACTGTCATGTGTTACATGTACTGGGAACCTGCCATCATCTGTGGCCGGTGCAAATGAGTCGTATGCCTGTGTTTCAAACTGTATTGTCAGGGAGCCGGTCGGCTGAGCGGACAGCACACTGGACTTGTGATCCTGTGGTCCCGGCAAGAAAAAATGGGCAGAGTTTCTTTCACCCTATGCCCCTGTTACCTAGCAGTAAAATAGGTACCTGGGTGTTAGTCAGCTGTCACGGGCTGCTTCCTGGGGGTGGAGGCCTGGTCGAGGACCGGGCCGCGGGGACACTAAAGCCCTGAAATCATCTCAAGATAACCCATATGGTGCCAATTAGGGCCCCATGTTATAACCCAGCCTAACACCCATGCATATAACATTTATGTGGCTCTCACTACACCCTCACCCATGATTTATGCTCTCTACTATAGTATACACCCTCATCTATGGTCTACTCCCTCGCCTGTGATCTATGCTCTCTACTATGGTATACTCCCTCACCTGTGATGTAGACTCACCCACTGTTTACACCCTCACCTAGGTAATACCAATCGTACTCATAGTTTTGGGGAATTATGTGAATTATCCAGTTATTCAACTCATACTCGTGTAAATAAATAGAAACGGGTGATAAACAATCACTGAAACATGGAAGGAGAACAACAGGAATGGTGTCTTACATACCTCAGTGTCGGCAAAATTGGAACATTGTGTTAAGTGTTAAATGGTAACTCCAGAATGCCCCCAACCTCAGAGCTTTGCTTAGGAGGCAAAGGACATTTGCACTCAGGGCAAGGCACACTACACAGTAGGCAGACCTCTGTGGCAAGAACACCTGAACACACCAGGTAACAATCCTGTCAGTGGGGAGGCAACCTCAACGACCAACTAGGGAAGGGCAACCCTAAGCACACGCAGCTTGTGATGAACAGTTTCCAAAGTCCACACAACAAGTGGGCTTGTAAACACATGCATGCAAAGCAAATTCTATACAGTATAGTGAAATGATACACAATTAAATGAGCCCCCACAGGAGAGAGTCCAGAGGATAGCCAACACTCGCCTTGAAACTGGGACCCAAAGAGCTAGCAACTCAAGGGGCATGTCAGATGAATCTGACATCAGGCAAAGGACTAATCATTGTTGACACTGGGAGCCAGCAGCTCTCATGGTGCTGCCTCCAAGTGGCAGTCACCAGTAAGTAGAGGTGGCATGACCTAACTACTGGCTGGAATGTTTGCTAAGTTGGTTGGTTGTTTACCTTGTACTTACCTATTTTGCCTTGAGAGCATTTCTTCAGTAAACATGATCTAGAAAACCCTGCTCTCTCTGAGGAGCCAAGGTTATGAGCTCTAGTTCCCCCTAGGCTATTAAGGACTCCTAAGGTTCATGTGACACATGTATGTGGAGCTATCTCAGTGTGGATAGCAACAGGGACCCACCATTTGGCCCCTACAAAATAATTATATTGCACAAATGCAGCAATATGTCTTTTCCTTTTCTCATGGAGATACAAAAGCTATACAATATTTAAAAGGCTCTCAAGACTAAGAAAATCAAAACACTGTAAGTGATCACAGATGAAGGTAACAAACCTAGAGCTTCATATCAATAGAATTCAGTTTAAAAGATAATCTCATCTAATCTCTCACCCAGTTACTGTTCAGTCATGTTGCAAGTCAAAATTACTGCACAGTTTGAGCTAGTACTCAATCCTCATCACACACAACAAAATCCAAATATTATTGGATATTTCAGAATTAAAAAGTGGGCTTTTGAGTGTACATGAAAATCACTTTTCGGAGCAGCACACTCAGTTGCTTCCTAGGGCCAGTACCTACTGACCAATGTATAGGATCTGTCAGTCAGAGCAGGTTGACATTATGAATTGGGGCATCAAAGACTTTTTCAGACTGTCCCTTAACAGGTCATACTAGTGCCAAGGAGACACTGGAGAATACTCGTTCAGCCAAAAACATAAGAGTGTATTTACATAAGACTCAAAAGCCTTGTCAGGCTCAACTGTTTTATCGCAGAGGCTGTCAGGCAGCACTTGAGCTAACTAATGTACTAAATGACCTACCAGATAACTGCTTCTGTCATCAAGTGGCAACACTAAAACCACAACAAAACTTTCCTAACTGAAACTTCCGACATTCTTCCTGAACCCAAAGCAAAGAAACCCACCACCAAATGTAAAGACAGGGCAAAGGAAATGAATTGGTGCACTGGGTGTATCTCAAACGGCTGCTTCCTCAGACAAGTGTCGACAGGGAACAACCATTCTTTTCCAGCATTTATGAAGCAGTTGATGGTGAAGACTGACATTATATACCTTAGCTTTAGTAATGCCTTTGTTACACGAGACTGAGTAGAAAGGAAGAGACGCGTGATACTGGGAAGAGGAGAGAAAAAAAAAGAAAAAAAAAAAGAAAGAGACCTCATCCAGCTCCCTCTCCCAATCCAATCGAACAAACCCGAAGGAAACCCCCACACGTAGACCTCTGCGAGAACAAAATACCGAGAAGCTAGAAAAAGTTTTGGTCAGCAGCTAATGCCACATTGAAAGACTGAGCGCCACCCTTCTTCCCCCGATTTTGACAGGAAACACTACATTACTTTCTTAATGTACTCTTTATTTTAACGACATTTCGCCTCAGTTATAAACACAATGCATTAACTTCACTGGAAAAACACAAAATATAAATGTGAGAGTTGGCATTCTTTTTCTCTCACCAAGAAACTGAAGCTCAATATTCAAAAGCAACACACACATCTTGTCTCGGCTTCCAGGGTCATATCAACAAGGCAAGAGTGGGTCTTCACCATCCTGAATCACTGAAGAAATCATTGACCCACAAGGCCATGCAGACCCCCCAAATATCAAGAATAGTTTAGCAATAGCATTCACTCGGTAATTAAAAAAAAAAATGTTGGAAATATTTATAATAGTTTGGTTCACTTAAATCGAGTTGGTCACTTTTTTTTAATACAAAAACGCTTGTAATCATTGGCCTGGAGTAAGAAACCTGTGGCATTAAGAATGCATGTGGCCTTTTGTGGTCCACAGTGCGGTCTTCAAAAAGTAATTCGTATAAATGAAACGCTTGAACTGTACATTTGTTTTTGACATACAGTATTTGAATGTTTACAGCCTCCACATAATACAATATACAATCTTCAAGAAAATATGGCATTCATATGACAAATTTCCCTTCCTTGTCATTGGCCAATTGGTTGCCAATACTTGGTCTATGCAAGCATAAGCAGCATTCACTAATGCAGCACAAACCCACAGCCTAAATTAAACTTCCTAAGGACAACACAAACCAATAAACTGAATCTTCTGGGGTCCACTTGCCTACATAACCTGCTGGTGAAGGCCAATCACGATAAGCACGAAGAGATTGCGTTTATGATTCTGTTGTGATGTCACCACTACCATCTGGTGGCAGCTTGAGGTAATTAACTACTGGACCATTCTACAGTTAGCTAGGATAGGCTTTTATATTACATGTGGATGCACTTTCTGTGTACATTCAGGGCTGAATTGAGTATTCTCCAGTGTCTCACTGGTACCAGTATGACCTAGCAGTGATGGTTTCAAAAGTACCCAGCTGTGGCAGTGGGAAATGTCGGCCCTCAGATCTTAGCCAGAGACTACTAGTCTTGCCTTAGAGGGCAGCAAAGTAGGTTAGCTCAAACAGTGCCCTTCACACATACATTTATTGTGTAATTAGGCACTGCAAGAGCCCTGAAAGCAATGTAAAGTAACCTTCTGGCTCTACATGGGAATATAGTCCTTGAGACTGTTCAAAACAACGGTCAGTACAGTACTTTTGAATCATTTATAGGACCACAACTTTTGAAGCATTAGCAAAACTTAAACAATAATGTACATTCAAATTTCAATGTACATTTAACACAATACAGAAAACTATAAATAACATTAGCATCAGAAATAAACATAATGCTCTTTCAACCCGTTCTCGCAAATTTAATAAGTCAATATTGACTTATTAACTACGTGCATAGGTGATATACTAAACATAATAGATACCCTTAAAAAGATTCATAGAAAACACCGACCTTACCTAACCTTGTTAGTATCTTAAGATAAGCATCTTATTGCTTCGTAATTACAATTATTACTTAACCTATACCTATTATAGGTTAGGTAATAATTGTAATTACGAAGCAATAAGATGCTTATCTTAACATACTAAGTAGGTTAGGTAAGGTCAGTGTTTTCTATGAATCTTTTTAAGGGTATCTATTATGTTAAGTATGTCACCTATGCACATATTTAATAAGTCAATATTGACTTATTAAATTTGCGAGAACGGGTTGTGCTCTTTGTACCGATTACTCAAGATGAAATATAAAACCGAGACAGTACTGTCTAACCGAACTGTGGTCTCAATTCTACCCTGCATAGAAGTGGAGGGCACAAAACCCCTTTGCTCAGCACTGGAGTCTACTATACTATGTAAATAAACAAAAGTGGTTACCCAACAGCCTACAACACCTGGGATTACTTTAATAACACATAGAAAACTATCAAAACTTCTCGAGTTTTATTTATTTTTATGAATAGCTGACTACCGTTCAAAGTCCATTACAAATACATTAAACATTTTACACACCTTTATGAGTGAAACTAACTAAGTTCTCCTTAAAACCCATATTAATATATGGATTACAAGATTATGGAAAAATATATTAATGCACTTTATACATGTTTGTCACTACAAATAGATGTGGGGGGAGGGGCAGGAAGCAGAAATTCAAATCTGCCGAGTTTCTCTTGTATTCTACACGCACAGCAAGGCCCCTCCTCGTCCCTCCTCCCCAAACTAAATATCGGGAAAGTAAGTAGGCCTTATATATTTGGTAGACTCTTGGATAGGCATTTTATATTTGGTGAACTTCAATCCCTTTCATATAGAATTTTTTCAAATCCATGCACATAAGGAATGATATAGAGATTACATACTATAATGAAAACTGTTTGCTGAAAAAATGGCAACATGCAACTTTTGTAAAGAAAATAGTGTAACTAGACAAATTTATATCCAATCAATATCCCAAAAACAATAATAATAATAATAATAACGAACATATAAATCAATAATAAACTTTTTCCACCTATTATCAAATAAAAACAAACCAACTCATAGTCACGTGTGCACAGTTGTCTGTGCGGGAACATTTAAATTCCCTCCCATAAATATGGCAGCAGCACAACCAGGACTGTACACACCTGCTCCCCACTACCATAAACACATCTGCTGCCCACTACCATCAAAACAGTACTGAGAGGACGCGCGCACACAATGATGGCGCCAACATGTATGTTCCCAACGATGGCGCCAACATTTATGTTCCCAACGATGGCGCCAACATTTATGTTCCCAATGATGGCGCCAACATATATGTTCCCAATGATTACTAAACAATATAATCCACATCTTCCTACACTGCAGAGTACTAATGAAGTAACATCAAGTGTTTGGATGATGCGCCAATTACAACACAAACTTGAACATTTACAATTCGAGGTTAAATGCGGCTCAGTATACTGATAGTGTATGGCCATATCACCCAAACATACAGGATTCCTTAAGCACAGTCCCCAAGTTACGGTAATAATATAATCAATCTACTTATAAATATATCTTAACTAATCAATGATATGAATATACATAGTGGCTGCCCTTTATTTATCTTTTTTTACATCACAAAACTTCCCCACTTGGCTCTCAAAAGAAAGCACAGCTCTCAAGACTGCAATTTTGTAATTTGTACAAATATATCATACGAGTACAAAAATGATCTCAAATATTTTTGCTTCATTATAAGGCTCACACAAGAGTAATTGTTGATGCACTAGTTATTCATCCCTGAGTGAGTTTTACGAGACCAGACTTTTGGCTAATACAATCTTTCTCATATACACATAAGTAATCTTCTTCATCTAAACAATTAAACAATGCTGTCTAGCTCTGAAAAATAATACTTAAGGAATTTGATTGCTGTAAATCATATCTCATGTTCAATGCAACACTTCACATTCAAGTACAAACCTTTCTTGGTATGGTCAATTTAAATAATTAATAGCATTTTGTCTGATTAAGAAACTATGGGCAAAAGTGTCTACGCCTTACCTACACTACGCCTTGTGTCTATGCCTTACATACACTACGCCTTGTGTCTATGCCTTACATACACTACGCCTTGTGTCTATGCCTTACATACACTACGCCTTGTGTCTATGCCTTACATACACTATGCCTTGTGTCTACGCCTTACATACACTATGCCTTGTGTCTACGCCTTACATACACTACGCCTTCTGTCTACGCCTTACATACACTACGCCTTGTGTCTACGCCTTACATACACTACGCCTTGTGTCTACGCCTTACATACACTACGCCTTGTGTCTACGCCTTACATACACTATGCTTTGTGTCTACGCCTTACATACACTATACCTTGTGTCTACGCCTTACATACACTATGCCTTGTGTCTACGCCTTACATACACTACGCCTTGTGTCTACGCCTTACATACACTATGCCTTGTGTCTACGCCTTACATACACTACGCCTTGTGTCTACGCCTTACATACACTATGCTTTGTGTCTACGCCTTACATACACTACACCTTGTGTCTATGCCTTACATACACTACGCCTTGTGTCTACGCCTTACATACACTATGCCTTGTGTCTACGCCTTACATACACTACACCTTGTGTCTACGCCTTACATACACTACGCCTTGTGTTTATGCCTTGTGTCTACGCCTTACATACACTACGCCTTGTGTCTATGCCTTACATACACTACACCTTGTGTCTATGCCTTACATATACTACGCCTTGTGTCTACGTTACAATTATCTCTTGCTTTTTCACTTGAATTCATCTTTGTGTTGCCACTAAAATATGAGAATAAGTTACTATCCTAATTCAATAGAGTTACCAATTATTATATTAATAATAGTCCACATGAAATGGCAAATTATCCAGATCACTGGAAACATTGCACAGTATTCACAAATAGAAATGAATGTTTTTTTTTATTCTTGATGACTATAAAACTGCATAGGACAAATTATAAACCAGTTTCCTTATATTTTTGTTACTGAACTCTTGAGAATTACTCTTCAAAATATAAACTGTGAAAGATAACCCTGCAAACAAAAATAAATACAGTATATATATCAAATAAACTTGAAAACTTAACCCAGCTACATTAAAGATTTAGGGATAAAACGTCCTCAATCCACACATGGTACTTTAAACACATGCTTAATTAAACACAAGAAAAATGCACGTAACTTAAACCTTTGAGAAGCTCACTAGTATGAAAAAACGTCACTAGACGCAGTGCAAACAGCACTTGCCTCAATGACGTTAATTTGTCTTCACTTTGCAATTGTTTTCTACATCAATATTTACTCGTGTGATGTACCTTATACAAGAATAAGCCAGAGAAGAAAGAGTACAGCCATCGCCATTAACACTTGAGAAAGGAAGCGTTCCTCTTGGTACTGCTGGGTCCCCGGGGCTGAAATGGGGGGGAAAAAAAGGTCTTAGAAGAAAATACAAATGTGTGTTGCTAAGAGAATGGTTTGGGAGAGTGGCAGATTATAATGAGTTATAAGTATTGCAATAAAGTCCCTCTACTTTTATTGAACTCGTACAGACATACTTTTAAATATAATTTTAAGCCAGTATGAAAGGGCAGTTGTGGAAACAGGAAACCAAGGAGACTGCAGCATAGTGAGGAAGGCAGAAGAAATGGCAAACCAATGGAGAATGCACACACAGTAACCCTGTATGTACAGAGTAAAGGCGGTACCATACGAGTGCAGAGCAAATGCTGTACTGTTCATATACAGAGCACAAATAGTACCATACATGGACAGAGCACATGTAGTACCATACATGTACAAAGTACACACAGTATTGTACACGTGCAGCAAAAACCATTGCAGGAGCAGCAAAAAAAAAATAAAAATAAAAAAAAAAACAGAATTAAGGAGGGTGATCATGTCAGTTGTGTTATGCGACACTAAAATCACGAAGGCCATTAAATACACCAGACTGGAGATGGAGTCAGGAATTTATTATTTACAAACTATCAGTTAGAGGGAAGAGCACAACAAGACAGACAAGAGGAAGACTGGGGAGTGTTGTACACGCTGCTATGGCGGTGTATCCACTCACAGGATGAGTGACGCTGCCCAGTACTGTCACTATGGCGGTGTGTCCACTCACAGGATGAGTAACGCTGCCCAATACTGTCACTATGGCGGTGTGTCCACTCACAGGATGAGTGGCGCTGCCCAATACTGTCACTATGGCGGTGTGTCCACTCACAGGATGAGTGGCGCTGCCCAATACTGTCACTATGGCGGTGTATCCACTCACAGGATGAGTGACGCTGCCCAGTACTGTCACTATGGCGGTGTATCCACTCACAGGATGAGTGACGCTGCCCAGTACTGTCACTATGGCGGTGTGTCCACTCACAGGATGAGTGGCGCTGCCCAATACTGTCACTATGGCGGTGTGTCCACTCACAGGATGAGTGGCGCTGCCCAATACTGTCACTATGGCGGTGTGTCCACTCACAGGATGAGTGACGCCGCCCAATACTGTCACTATGGCGGTGTGTCCACTCACAGGATGAGTGGCGCTGCCCAATACTGTCACTATGGCGGTGTGTCCACTCACAGGATGAGTGGCGCTGCCCAATACTGTCACTATGGCGGTGTGTCCACTCACAGGATGAGTGGCGCTGCCCAATACTGTCACTATGGCGGTGTGTCCACTCACAGGATGAGTGACGCTGCCCAATACTGTCACTATGGCGGTGTGTCCACTCACAGGATGAGTGACGCTGCCCAGTACTGTCACTATGGCGGTGTGTCCACTCACAGGATGAGTGACGCTGCCCAGTACTGTCACTATGGCGGTGTGTCCACTCACAGGATGAGTGACGCTGCCCAATACTGTCACTATGGTGGTGTGTCCACTCACAGGATGAGTGGCGCTGCCCAGTACTGTCACTATGACGGTGTGTCCACTCACAGGATGAGTGGCGCTGCCCAGTACTGTCACTATGACGGTGTGTCCACTCACAGGATGAGTGACGCTGCCCAATACTGTCACTATGGTGGTGTGTCCACTCACAGGATGAGTGGCGCTGCCCAGTACTGTCACTATGGTGGTGTGTCCACTCACAGGATGAGTGGCGCTGCCCAGTACTGTCACTATGGCGGTGTGTCCACTCACAGGATGAGTGGCGCTGCCCAGTACTGTCACTATGGCGGTGTGTCCACTCACAAGATGAGTGGCGCTGCCCAGTACTGTCACTATGGCGGTGTGTCCACTCACAGGATGAGTGGCGCTGCCCAGTACTGTCACTATGGCGGTGTGTCCACTCACAGGATGAGTGGCACTGCCCAGTACTGTCAGTATGGCGGTGTGTCCACTCACAGGATGAGTGGCGCTGCCTAGTACTGTCAGTATGGCGGTGTGTCCACTCACAGGATGAGTGGCGCTGCCCAATACTGTCACTATGGCGGTGTGTCCACTCACAGGATGAGTGGCGCTGCCCAATAAACTCGCCCCTCGGGGCAAAATTAATAAAATAGAAAGCCTGGGTAGTCTTCCGTGGGTTTGCCAAGCCCCAACAGGGTTTTCCAGGGGCCCATAGGGGGATCAGCCTATGGGAAGCCCAGGTAACAGTGCTGCAAAGCCAGTTGAGCCCTTCTATGTTAATAAGAGGAAATAGATCTATAACTGGACCCCTGAGAGGTGTACAAGCACAGGGGCCTTGAGGAGAGCTATCAAAATACCTTAGGGGGACTAATAGTCAAACAAGGCAAATCTCCTCCAAGCAATAGACAAAAAAGAAAAGAAAACCCCCGCAAAAGCACAACAACCACAGGAGGATCAGGGAACATGGCTTCCAAATTGGTAGGTGTGCTGTGCAGCACCTCGTGCCCCAAACCAGCAACAACACTTTCTACCCAAGGCCAAACAAAGGTCACTATATCCCCAGCTGGCCCCAAGGGCGGGGTAATGTCGAGCAGCAGGAACCCCCTATGGAAGTAAAGCCCGAAAGCCCCAGGGAAGTTAACCCTAGGACCCAAAGGTAGTACTCACAGGGCCCTTAGGGAAGACAGGCCTAAGTGCATGCAGCCCTCAGTACACTATGTTACTCCTGGCCAACACACCACAAACAGCTGGAAACTCCCACAAGGGCACAAAATCCATCCAGAATCTGTGGCCAGAGTCGACATCTGCCCCAGAGCACTTCAGCCACTAACTGAGGTGTGAATAGCCGGCGCGTAGATCTGGGGCTCCCCCCCTCCTCCTCCCGGGGAGAGGAGGGCTGCATGGACAAGTGGCGCAGCAGCAGTGAATGACAATTTCTTGTTTGCTTCATTCCTTTGTTTTCCCTTGTGGAGTTATGTTTCTCTGTTTGGTCTTGGGTTTTTTTTTGCAATTTCCTACCATGTGGGGTTTGTTTTGATATGCTTACCTTTCTGGGTGCTTAATCCCAGTCAATGACAGACAAGGAATACCCCAAATACAAGGGGGTCTCCTTAAGCCATTGCTCCCTATGCCTCTCTGAGGGGAGGCCAGGTTCCAGCTCTAGTCCCCAGTGGGCAGGACCCCATTGACTGAAGCCCCAGACTAATATAGCGTATATCAACCCTATATATAGCTCCAGGGAGCCGAAGAGGCTCCCCACAGAAAATACACGTGAAAGCTTGTGGAACAAAGTGGAAGCAACATCCACCCCGAACGCAAGCTGGAGCGGATCTGCCATCCGATTCAGAAAAAGCCAAGAGATAAAACAAAACAACCTGGCTCAAAATCGACAAAAACCTTTTAAGAAAAAGAAAGTGACAGACTGCCAAGAAACTTCATACTGTCGCTGGGAAGAAGACAGCAAGTGGGACACCATCAAAGAAGCCCCCTGATCACCATACAAATGGCGATACAAATGCGTTGGAAAGACCTGGGCCAGCCACCATGGAGCCAGAAGCACTGTTCCCCGAGAGGATTCCAAGCAAGCTTTCCAAGAGGATTCCTGGAGCAACAGGTGGACCAGGAAAAAGAGGTACAGGAACCCCCACCTTGACCAGTCCTGCCGAGAAGCATCTACTGCGATGGCCTCGCAGTTGGAGAACGGCGCCATGAACAATGGGTTACACAGAGATCATGCTGATGCGAAGAGGTCCACCTCCGGGCACCGGTACGTCCAGCCAAACCAAAGGTAGGAAGCGGCGTTGACTGGCCACTCCTTGGAAAGAGGAATAAAAACCCGAAAACTCAGCAGAAGAGCCACCCGAAGCAACCAGCCCCTAAGAACCACGGGATTCCCCCGTGGTTGAGACAATGAACCACGGGGAAGCAATCTGAATGGAGCCGGAACACCAAGCCCCGAGGAAGCCGAATCTGGCGCAGCACCTGCCACACCGCCACAAACTCCTGCCCTGTCCTGTGTGCCTGACGTAAGGACAGCCTCCAACGACCCTGGCCAGACTGGTGAGCACTGGTCACAAAGACCCAATCAAGAGACGAAGCTGCAATGAACACATCGAGCGTGGGAAGATGAATGCACCATGGCACCAAACCCCAAAAACCCGAAGAGAAAGCATGCGAAGCAGCAACTGACACAAGGTCATTGGGGAATGAACCCAGCAATTGGGAAAGTAGTGAAAGAAACCACTCCAAAGATTCCAAAACAGCCTTCGAAGCCAAACCCAGCCCAGTGGATAAACCAGCAAGGCAAAGTTCAGGCTCCCGCACAGCTGCTCCAGCAACCTCCGAGGGACCCGGGTCCTCATCAAAAACAGCTGAAGGTGGGACTGCAACCAGAGCAAAGCTGCAGGAGGGAGAGAAACAGACACAGTCCGAGAACCCCACACTAGGCCCAGCCAAGCCCAAACCAAGGACGGAAACCAACTGAGACTTCAGAAAAGTTACTAGGAACCCAAATTGGGCAAGCTGGGAAAGAACCAGAACCCTGGCAAGCAGACAGGCAGGGAGCCCACACCAACCAGTCATCAAGACAGGCTGCCAGCCAGGAAGACACTGGAACCTCAAAATGCACTGGATTAGTGTAAGAGGAACCGAACTCAAACAAAACCGGATCCAACACAGAGGCGTAAACCGGGTCTCGCAGAAGGTACGTGCCAATGGCCTCCCGAACCTCCACAAGGGAAAGCCGAGAGGAAGAAAAACGCCAAAAAGACAAATCCGAGAAACCCGAGGGCACCTAGAAATGAACCTTGGAGGGGGGGGGGGGGGGGGTAGCCCTACCTACCACATTTGCCAGCAGATAACACGCACAATGTTAAAGAAAATGTTTTATTTTTTTCTATCGGATAAAAAAAAATTGCCCCATGGCAAAAACGGCCATAATACGGACAGGATACCGAGGGCCGCAGGCTTGGGAGCCAGACAAGCAAACAGTGCAAGGTTGCCAGCCACAAAAATTGGTGCCCATAATAAAATAAAGAAAACAAACCAATGATCACAGTC